CAACATGATCAAAGCTCATATGAACTCACAGAGACTGAAGCAGCATGCACAGGGCCTGCATGGGTCTGTACCAGGTCTTCTGTGTATATATTATGGTTTCCAGTTTAGTGCTTTTATGGGATTCCAGAGCATGGGAACTAGTGGGTCTCTGACTCTTGTGCCTTCTTTTGGGCTCTTTTCCTTCTGTTTGTTTGTCTTGTCCAACTCCAATGTTTTTTGTTTTATCGTACACATTTTGTTTTTGTTACAGTTTATTATTGTCTCTTAGAACCCTGTTCTTTTCTAATGAGAGAGAGAAAGGGGGTAGATCTGAATGGGAGGGGAGATGGGAAGGACCTGGGAGGAGTAGAGGAAGTGGAAAAGGTAACCAGAATAAACTGTGTGAGATAAGAATCTATTTTCAATAAAAGGAAAAAATAAAAGTGGAAACAATAGTGCCTATCAAACAGGATCACTGTGAGAATTTTAACAAAAAATTTAAAGGGCTTGGCACAGTATGCACAACATGGTGAGCACTTGACAAACATTATCTGCTGCTGTAATTACTTACCACTTACCAGGCACAGCAGGAAGTCTTCTATTAAAGAAAATAAAAACAATTACTGTTGTAAAGTGGCACAAAACAATGATATAAAGCTTTGTAATTTGGGGGAGCGGTTGGCCAGCTCAAAATGTCCTTTCTAAGCTTGGGTAAATCACTGTCCTATGAGTCTAAGTAAGAAGGAGAAATGTCCTCTCATTTAAAAGACCAAAGTAAGTGGACAGGGTTTTCAAGACTGCCTTGTAGCTAGGACTCATATGATTCAGGCTTGCCTAGCCACACATATCCCGCTCAGGTCTAACACAGGAACTAGTGACACAAAGCCACACCCAATTTTCTCACAGACAGCACTGGTGGTCTGAAAGGTAGCATCTAATAGTATAGGGAGTTGGCCTGGCCTAGGTACATTGAGAGGAATGCACCATGGGTTTTTCAGGTCAGAGTCCATAGCTCCTGGAACACTTGTGTGCCTTTCAGTTCCTGAGAATGTTGCACTCCCTCCAGCAGTGAAGTGTTCAGGCCACTTTGTGTTTCTTTGTGTGCCCCACCTTGGAAGTTAAGGAAGCATGGAAGCTTGACAGGACAATTGATCTTAGACGTTAGTTGTGTATACCCTGTAAAGTTTTCAAATATCATTGTATCCTGGAAACTACAACTGTATCGACCCTGGCAATTGCCATTGTATTCTGTTTCTGATAAAGGTATAAAAAGTCTGATTGTTCTCCATAAAAGTTGTCACAGCCTCAGTCTTGCTGTGGCCCCTCCAACCAGCCTGGTTTAATTCCTCACAGCCATACCAGGTAACCTTGGCCCAGTAGATGAGTGTGGGCGCTTACAATCTAGTACAAATGTTGCCTGTGTAAGCTCACCATCATTGTCATAGTGTGGAGGTTAACAGTGATTAGGAGTTCTAATTGATCTAAATAATATAGAAGAAAATTCTGAGAGATCAGGGAGAAGAAGAAGCAAGCCAAAGCTACCTTTACCTCATTTATCTTTACCTCATTAGCATCCCAGTAGAAAAGAAAGTGAGTTCCTATTTCTTCTCACTTATATCCTCTCTCTGCCCAGCCATCTCACTTCCTGTCTCCACCCAGGCATCTCACTTCATCTCTGTCTGTACTGACCTCCAGACCTAGAAGGTTAGCTAGTGGCAAGCTCCATCCTCTGATCTTCAGACAAGCTTTATTTGTACAAGCAAGATGCTACCACATGATTGTCAGTGTGACAGGATCTGGAATCAACAAGGAGACAAAGCTCTGGGAATGCTTATTAAAGGAGTTTCTAGATTAGGTTGACTGAGGTAGAAATATCTGCCCTAAAAGTGGTGTTTTCCATGGTGTGGGTCCCAGACTCAATAAAGAAGGAGGAAGTGAGCTGATCCCCAGCAGTCATTGCTCTCTGCTTCCCGACTGTGGACATAATGTGACCAGATACCTTGAGCTGCTGTTACCATAATGTCTATGGCATGGTGCCCTAAACCCCGAGGAAACTGTGAGCTGAACAAGGTGGTTCTTGTCAGGTATCTGGTCACAGCCATGAGAAAAGTAACCAATGCAGAAATCCATACTGAGAATTATGGCTGTTGCTATGATAAACATGACTAGGTGGTTCTTGGGCCTTTTGAAGTGTTTAGAACTCTGGGCTAGGATACTGAGAGCAAAGTTTAATGGGTCATTCTGGTGGAGGTTAGGGAGGTAACATTACCCAATGTGGACAGTGGTCATCTGACACTGGGCTGTGTCATAATTATGCTCACTGCTCCTACCGGGTCCACAGTGAGAAAGAACAACAGCTGAGAAAGAACAACAGCTGGATCAGAATGACACGAAAAGTTGACAGGGGAAGGAGAGAGAACTTGAAATTGTAGATAAGGCTAGGTTGAAGCAGCAGCGGTGCTTGTTAAAGGGTTTAGCACCTTTGAAGAGAAACCTTTGCTCTATACGACCCGTCAAAAGCTCCATCTTGTGAAAATTCCAAATTAATTTGAAAGGAAAAAGACTAAAGTTGAGATGGCTCAAGGGTTACAGCTCTTCCATGTAGCAAGGGTATCCCCAGAACCCATATAAATAATGAGTGGGCACGGCAGCCCAGATGTAATTCTAGCCTCAGAAGGTGGAGACAAGGGGTTCCCTGATGATTATTGCGTGCCGCATGCGCTCAAAGACGATCCGTACGTAGTCCGTAAGGCTAAGATTTCGTTATTCAGATAAACACCAGCCCAAACGCAAGCCAGAGAATGCCAGGGGCAGCAAGGCAGCCAGGCCAGAGAGAGGGGCCAGAAAGAAGGGGCTATTCACGTGTGCCTGGTCCCTTAAGAATGGTTCCCGTCACCTTAGACCGCTGCTGACCACGCCCTCACGGGTGTGTCCTGGCACACCTGTCTGGCTACTACAAGGCGGGGCTACAGTGTCTCTCTAGGTTCCCTAAAGGAAAACATACAACAAAACAGATACCACCCCTACCTGTGTTGCAAGCTCTGGGTTTGATTGAGACACCTGCCCCAATGAATAAAGTAGAATAGCAATTGAGGAAGATTCCTGATATCAATCTCAGGCCTCTACATGTACCCGCACACACATGCACCCACACACATGCAACTACCAAGACATACATGCAAGTAGCACCACACACACACACACACACACACACACACGGAGGGAGAAAAGCAACGGAGGAATCCTAATCTGAGAATTGCCATTTAATGTGGTCTCTGCTCATAAAACAATCTTATAGGGAAGCATTTATCTAGAATCAAGCTGGAAGGCACATTGGAAGGTTGATGCAGCTGTTATCCAGAAGGGTCAAGCTACACCTGGAGCCAGAAGAACAAGTTGGCAGTGTCACCCACATGGAACTGGTTTTATGGGTAGAGGAGACGCAAGAATAAGTGGGTCAAAAAGTCTTATGCCAATATTCCAGAAGACCACTGAGGCCAGGCCTGGCATATATGGCAGGATCAAATTCCTTGCAATGGAGCCCCAAGGAGATACTGCATGAAGCTAGGATACCAAGACCATGGGACATCTACCAAAGAGAGTACAAGCACAGAATGGAGCCAGACCAAAGAGAGGTAAAGGGGCCAGGCTCTCCGCAATCTCAGGAGCACAGGAGACTCTGTCACAATCTTCGGATGCCCAATATGGAACTACAAGCATGATGTTTGCCAGTCTTACTTTGGCTCTGTCTTTCCTTGTTATACCCCCACTCCTCCCTTCTGGAATGAGAATGCTTACTCTGTACTTTGCTTATTGATGTTATACAGGCTCACAGTTAATAGATTGCCCATCTCAGAAACCACTCTGCACTTAGACTTTTGAATAGTGATGAAAACTGTTAAAGACTGTGGGGACTCTGAAGTTGAATTCAATGCATTTTGAATTGTGAGCTGTCCCTGAGTCTATAGGGAGAAGGGGGTGGAAAGCTATGACTTAAAAGTGATAGGTTTGAGTGTCAAGTTGGCAAGGATTACTTGTGTGATGGTTAATATTGTCAATTTGAAATGCTGTGAAATCGCCTGTGAGACTATCTCTGGCTCTACCTGTGAGAGAGTTCATAGACTGAGTTAATCGAGGCAGGAAGAACCACCCTAAATGTGGGAGGCACCATTCATGGGTTGCCAAGCCCGGCATTGAATAAAAAGAAGAAAATGAAGCTTGAGCTGAGCCCTCTCTAGGCTTCCTGACTGTGGGTGCAATGAAACAACTTGCTGTAAGTTTTTTCCATCATGACTTCCCCACCGTGAAGGCCTGTACCTCCAAACTGTGAGCCAAAGCCCCTTCCTTACCCTGCTTCTGCAGTATTTACTGCAGCAATGGGAAAAAAAAAAAACTAACTCAGGGAATCTGGCTGTGGTGAGCCTTGCCCCTTTGCCAAAGCTCCCTTTTTGTCATCTCCACAAATGCTTTATACCACCTACTATACTCTTTTGCTTCTGTCAGCCGACAGTAGTTTTTAATGGTGCAGTTCCACCTCCCAGACTAGTACAAACAGGATCAGGTGGCTAAATGAAATAAGTACACTGTTTCTGCTTTGTTTATTGGTTTATTGATTTGCAGTGTCCTCTGCTTGAATCCTGCCCAGAGATCATTTTTCTTACATGATTTTTATTTCGGTCATGCTGGTTTGTTAAAGAGGATTCCTTTAAAAGTAGCAAACCTGCTCTTCTTTCATCTCTCCCAGCTTCCTTCCTTGGGTGTGTGGGTATGTGTCTCAAGACAAGCAAAATTTAATTGCCTGGAATTCAGTCATGGGTATAGAAAACCAGACAATTAATTACTGAAGGAATAAAGGAAAACAAGGAGAAGAACAAAGCCAATGTCTACTTCAGGGAGTGTCACAATTAAACTATGAACTCTGTTAATTAATTTAATTAACAAAAATGTGCCTCACATAAAAACATCATGGGCTACAATACTGCCATTTCACAAAGATAACATGTAATTCATTTATTTTACAGACGAAACATTTACAACAAGGGACAGACAACTAAAGACTGAGCTACAACTAACCATATCTCCAGGAGCTTAAGCCAGGGCTCCCACCTATTGTTCCAAAGGCAAACAATGAAAACCTAACCAAGAATGGGTGAAGTTTACCTCAATCTATCATAATTTTAGGTTTCTAGGGGTGTCTGATAAGCATTTACATTTTCAAAAGGTTTTGAAACAAAGCTCTTATACCCTCTTATTTGCCCTAAAAAACAAGCAACCCATTAAAAGAAAGAGGTATTTGGACCACTGCCCTGTTTTTGACATTTATGATACCTCTGGCTTCTATCTCCTTTTCTTATTATTTTAAATTTTAACATTGCAGCTACAAGGCAAAGTCTGTTGCTAAATATACTAGTTATTTTCCCCATTGCTGTGACAAATACCTAATGAAAGCAACTTTAGGAAGGAGGTTTATTTGGGGATATAGTTGCAATGGTTTACAACTAGCTCCATTTCAAACTAAGTTACTGTGTTAAAAAGAAAAACCTAGAAATGGAATGGAAAGGACCTACTTCTTAGCCTAAGGATTGTTAACCACAGGATGTTTAGAACATGACCCTAAGGTCAGCCCTGTTAGCTTGAGTCTTGACAGCAATTTTTTTTTTTTTTTTGGTTTTTCAAGGCAGGGTTTCTCTGTGTAGCTTTGGAGCCTATCCTGGCACTCGCTCTGGAGACCAGGCTGGCCTCTAACTCACAGAAATCCACCTACCTCTGCCTCTCGAGTGCTGGGATTAAAGGCGTGTGCCACCAACGCCCGGCTTTGACAGCATTCTTAAAGTGAAAACTGATCTCAGAGCCACTGGCTCATCTCCCAAAATTATTCTCTTTTCCCCTTATTATGTAATTGTTATTCTAAAATATTAATCCGATATTCATTCTGCTTCTGTAATCTTGCTTACCCATTGTTTGCTCTGGAAAAACAAACAAAAAACATGATAATGCCTCACATAGCAGAAAATTGAGCTCTTTCTCAAAAAAACTGAGACAGTTGTACTTTATACCTTTAAAAACCCAGCCCTCCTTCCCCTTTTGTATCAGCTCTCAGATTTGCAAAGGGGGCTGTTGTTGTAATATTGGTATAAATAAAAAAACTTGTTCTTTATATTTTAAATTGAACTTTTGTCTGGTGGGGGTCTTTCCCTAGTGGTCTCATACTCCAAAACACATTTTTGCTTGACAAAACCTTTCCTGGGGCAAGGGGACATAACACACATTTTGATTCACCCCAGATAGGAAACTCCCAACAGAACAAAGTCTGAATACCATCTAAATCCAAGTTGGTGAATCAATGAGTTTTACTGAGATTACTTACAGAGATATGGGTAAGGGGTTCCTTATCCGAGTTCCTTACAGCATGGATGACAGGTCACAGAGCTGGGAATCTGGAGCTCACTGCACAGCCTGCAGGCTGCTCCACAGGTTGGAGCATGCCCTTTCCAAGCTCAGTTGCTCTGAGCCTCATCCAGGCAGTTCAGCTGGTCTCTCTCTGACTCTTGCAGGCAGCTGATCTGGTCTTAGAGTCTTTGCAGCTTTTCTCCTCAGAGATTCTCTCTGCATTCACCTTCACTTCATCTTCTTGGCATTTCAACTTCCTTCTGTCTGAGAGAGACACTCAACTTTTGTTGGTTGCTCTGGCCAGGAGAGGGCTAGTGAATCTGGTCAGTTTCAGGGACTTCCTGAGACTATTTCTTGAGTTGTTTGCCTTCCTGTTTAAAGAACTTCCTGTAGGATGGACTGTTTTGATCTGGGAAGGAACTATAATACAAGTCTGTTATAGCAAGAAAAAAGTGTGGTTGTGAGTGTTATGCCCAGTTCACAAGACACCCAAAAAGACCACCAAGGAGCCGACTCACAGAATGCAAGTGTACAGGGTTTCTTTATTAAATTCAAGCCTCGACAGGGATCTTGTCCCACAGACTGATGCAGCAGCTGAAGAAGGCCCTGACCTTCATAAGTGAGGAATTTATAAAGGCGAGTATCACAGAATAGGGTTAGGGGTACAGGTTTGAAGCTGATTGGCTGCAGAGTTAGGGGATTGGGGACTTTCCAGGGGTTTATCTCTTGTACCATTTGTGCCCATAAAACACACAAAAAAAGTTGTGTTTCTCAACTTTTCAGGTTAGTTGCTCTGGGGTCAGGGCCATTTGTCTCCCCTTCCTGCCTGTTGGGTTTTGGGGGCTGGCATTTGTAGTTATCTCCTCTTCCTGCCTGTCAGCTTTTTGGGTGGATGGTGTACAGGTCATGGGGTCAGGTTCTTTCACAGTGCTGTTTTGGGCCCTTTTCTCTAGGATGGCCCAGGTTTGGCCTTTCAGTGGAAGTAAGTAGTAAGTGGTCACATTGCAACTGAAATCGGAAAGTAGAGAGAAATGAATGCTGGGCTCAACTGTATTCCTCTTTACCCCTTTAATTCAGTCTAGGACTCCAGTCTAGGGTATGGGTGCGAACCACACTCAGGGTGGGTGTTCCCTCCTCAGTTAAATCTCTATGGAAACACCACCACAAACAGGCCCAGAGATGTGTCTCCTAGGTGATTCCAAAACCAGTCAAGCTGACAATCAAAATTAACTGTCCCAAGAAGTGTTATGGCTCTGGGGTTAGTCAGAGATTCACCATGACCATAAAGGAATTTTAGTAAGAAGAGGCTTTTTATTTTAGACACTGGTGTCCAGTGTGGGGTCAGGATTGCACCTGGGAGCATTCCCAAGATTCAGTACCTAGCCATATCAGCCCAGGGCTTAGTATAAGCAGATCCCACAGATTACATATATATTGCCTGAAGGGAACTTAGTTAGCATGTGGCTCTGGCAGGCTTTCCCCTTCTCCCCATTCCCTCTGCCTTGCTAAAAGCCATTAGATTACATTTCTGAAGTTAGCCACCAAGGTCTAGTTCCTTATTTGGCCACTTCCTCATCCTGAGACTGACTACCAAGGTCTAGCAATCAGAAGCTCCCGTTGGCTCACCTAATTATCATACCCAATTAAAATTAAACACCTCCTCCTAATGCAGGGTTTCCCTCTTTACCTTTATAAACTGCCATTTGCCCATGTGTCATGTCTGTCTCCCCTCTATCCAGAGGCGGTCCTTTGTCCTCCATGACAAATACCCCTTCCTCCTTTCCCTGTTCCTTCCCCCTCTCCCTCATCCCCAACTTCCTTTACCACGGCATCCATTCAAACACAGACCTCCCCTTTTTCTCTTCTTAAAAATGATACCTGAAAGGTCATTTGCTGCTGTAACTTAGTCAGTTGGCAATAAAATGGAGTATGGGGGAAAAAAAGGGAAACTATAACAGATACTGAAGTAGGTAACTAGATGTGGGTTAGTTAGCCACTAAACCTTAGAGTCCTTAGGGTAAAAACCCGGAAGTAATATAGCTGGGTCTAATGGAAATTCTACTTTTAGTTTGGATCAATCTGCATTACTACCAGCAATGTATAAGAGTATTTTATTTTCATAAGATTTTTTTTTTTTAATGATAGCCATTCTGACTGGGGTGAGATGTAATCTTAATGCAGTTTTAATTCCTTTTTTCCCTGAGGCTAAAGATGTTGAACTGTCTGCACACTTATTGCCTATTTATGCTTCATTGTTTTTGAAAGGGAGGGGGAAGCTTGTGGCAGGATCGTGCAAGGATTTAGAGTACATATGCACATACTTGCATGTGGAGTTGGTTCTCTCCTTCCATCAGGCAATCAAAATCAGTCCATTAGCCTGGCAGCAAGCACCATTACCCGCTGAGCCATTTCACTGGCTTCATCCTCTGAGAACTGTCTATCCATTTTGTTAGTTATTAATTGGTCCCTTTGGCTTTTATTGATGTTCAGTTTTAAACTTTTTCATATCGTCTAGATATTAACTTTCTGTGAGATATGTAGTTAGCAAAGATTTTCATTCATCCTATAGGCAATCTCGTGACTCAATTTTTTCCTTTGTGCAGCAGCCTTTTAATGTCATGCAATCCCACTTGTCAGTTCCTAATATTCTTCCTAAGATGCTGGAATCCTTTTTAAAAAGTTCTTGCCTAGTCAGCTGTGGTGGTGCAAGCCTGCAATTCCAGCACTTGGGAGGCTGAGGGAGGTGGATCTCTGTGAGTTTGAGGCAAGCCTGGTCTACAGAGTGAGTTCCAGAACATTCAGGGTCTTTACACAGAGAAACCCTGTCTTGAAAAACAAAACAAAACAAAAGTTCTTGCCTATGCCTATATCTTGAAATGTTTCCCCAATGTTTTCCTAAATGGATTCAACTGGTGATCAACATATTAAAGACATGAGTCACACACAGAAAGGCGAACAGCGCGCTTTTCTCATCTGTTGGTACTAGAATTCCTTACAGACATATAAAGCCATTCACACACACATACATGGCATGAAAGCAGAAGGAAGCCCAGGGGAAGGAAGGGAACAAATGGGAGGTGAAACGGGAAGGGGAAGAATAAAGCTAATGGGACAGGGGTTTGAATACAGTCAAAATGCATGACACACCTAGACTTGTAATTATGAAGCCTGGAACTGTGTGCAATGAGTATACAGCAATTTAAAAACTAATAGGTATTTATGTAAAGATTTAAAGTTTCCTTCTCTATGTCTAGGCTTTCTTTGTTCACTGTTATTCCCAAATTTGGCCAAAAGGTTTTCATTGTTTTATCGTTTTTCTTTGCATTTTGTTTTGTAAATTTTGAAAGATGTTTACAAATTTCCCTCCCCCTCCCCCCAAAAATGTATGTATAAAGCAAGCTGTCATTCCATAGACTCTTTAAGATGCAAACTCTTAATAATGTTCAAATGGCCTCAAATGATTTTAAAAAATGTCAAAACAGGAAGCTGACCCCATTAAAAGACAATATATTTTAAAGTTTCTTTTTAAGACTTATTATTTTACTTTTGATGTGTACCTAGTGCCTGAAGAGGCTACAAGAGGGTATCAGAGCCACTGGAAGAGGAGTTACAGAGGGTTGAGAGCCACCATGCGGGTACAGGGAACCAAACTGAGCCCTTTGCAAGATCAGCAAATGCTCAACCTCTGAGCCATCTCTCCAGCTCCCTATTGTATTAATATGATGGAATAAAGCAAAAGTTATTTTATAGTTTCTGTAAATTCATCATATATATTATAAATAATTTGTGAAAGGAAACAAACTGACTTAGAAAATAAAGAGAGTAACACGTTTTGAAATATAGCTGTGATAGTTTAAAATACCAGTCTATGTACTCTGTTAAAATGGAGTATCACCGCTGCTCTTCCCAGCACAAAATGAGAAAGGCTTTTAAGAGAAGAGCGAAGAAGCGAGGGTCGCCTTTGGAAGGTCAAGATGCAGAAACTGGACACTGCCAAGTAATCTCACAGTGAACAGCACAAGCCCTGAGAGAGACTCGAGGTGCCTGTCAACCTTTCAGGTATAGCACTGGTCGGTGACGAATTTCTTTCCCACCAGAGTTCGTGGAAAAATACAAGAAGCTCATACATTCAGTCTGCCCTCTTCCCGAAGGCGGTGAGCACAGGGCTCGCCGAGCCACGCCCACTCGGCTCTCCCCGGCACGTCCCGCCCCTTCCGTCTTCCACTTCCGGGCAACAGCGCGCCTTTGCGCCGCCTTCTCGGAATCCGATTGGCTGTTTCGTCAACCGCTAACCGCCGCGAAGTTTAAACAAGCCCCAGCCCGGGTCCGGGTGAGTTGTAGAGCTCCCCAGGCGTGTGGCGGTCCCCGAAGCAGACGGGGCGGTAGGTCGGCGCGGGTGAGGGCAGCCGGGCCGCCGTGTCCGCGGAGCCCGAGCCCTTCTCGGCCGGTTCCCTCGGCGCTGCAGTCCTCACCTCCGCGCTGCGGCTCGCAGGGTCTGGAGAGCTGGCGTGGGATCCGGGCGGTAACCTCTGGTCTGCCTTTGAGTTCCCAGCTGGGCAAGGGGTCGAGCCACCAGCTTTAATTCAGGTCAGTGCCCGAAGCGAAGGGATCTGGATCCCTGTGACCGATCTGTACCTGATCTGCTACGTCTGCTTGCGCGCCGTGTCAAGTTCATATGGATAAAATGTTAAACAGTCGGAACCATTTCCTGTAATGT